ACTTATGCCACTGAGCTATCTCCCTAGCCCTATAGAGTTCATATATATCTCACATATATTTGCCTACTATTTTCTAAATTTTTTAAAATGTATTTGGTACAGGTTCTCACTACTCAGCTTGGACTTGTAGTGATTCTCCTGTTTTCAGCCACCCCAGCTCTGGGATTACAGGCATGCACCACCATGCCCAGACTCACCCAGGGGCAGGGCTGGTGAGGATGTAGTGCTGGGGATTGAACCCTGGTCCCTGCACTTGCCTAAGCAAGTGCTTAGTCCACTGAGCTATCTTGCCAGCAACTACTCTAGTTCAATATAGTACTCTAACATTCAGCCAAATCAATCAGAAAAGGGAAAGAAACAAAATAGATACACATGGGAAAGAAAAAAAATCAAGTTATCATTATTTGCAAGTGACATGACTACATAGAAGATCATTTGACCAAAACTCTCATACAATTAATTATCAAATTTAGCAATATGATAGGATACAAAATTGACACACAAAAGTCAATAGCATTCTTGTGCACCAATAAAAAACTCAACATGATAGAAATTTGTAAAACAATACCATTCACAATAGCATTGAGAAAACTTAAATATTTAGGAATTAATCTAACAAAGAAAATGAAAGACCTTTATAACAAAAAGTATAGTACTCAGAAAAAGTAGATGAAAGAGAACATAGAAAAAGAAAAAACAAGACAACAATATGTAATGTATTAAGTATTGAAACTGTCCTACTAATTGGTTTTGAAACTGTCTCATTGCTATTTGTTTCTCAATAAAATTATTAAAAAAGAAAAAGAAAAAAACACACCCTGTTCCTGGTCAAGCACAACCAACACTGTAAAAATGTCATACTCTCAAAATGTAATGCAATCCCAGTCAAAATACCAACAGTATTCCTCAAAAAACTAAAGAAAATGAACCTAAAGTGTATATGGAACCACAAGAGACCTCGAATAGCAAAAGCAATCCTGTGTAACAAAGCAAAGCACAAGGAAACATAATCCTAGATTTTAAATTATATTACAAAGCTACAGTGGAAAAAAAAATCAGCATAAGACTTGGCATGGTGGCGCATGCCTATAATCCCAGCTCTGGGGAAGTTGAGAATAGGAGGATCACTATGAGTCCAAGCTGCATAGTGAGACCCTGTACCAAATACATTAAATAAATAAGTAAATAAATATAGCTTGGTGATTTTCTTTGCCAGGGATATAGCTCAGTGACATAAGCACCAGCCTGGCAAGTGCAAGGTTCCGAGTTTGATCCCTGGTACAACTCACAAAAAAGAAGAAATAAAAAAAAAAAAAAAATCCAGCATAGTACCATCACGAACACAGACATACAATCAGCAGAACAGAATAAAGGACACAGAAACAACCCAGACACATTTTGCTCCCTGATATTTAACAAAAAAACATTTATTGGAGACCATAC